CTTTGTTTCAGTTAGACGTCAAGAATGTCTTTCTACATGGTGACTTGGTTGAAGAGGTATACATGGAGTAGCCACCTGAGTTTACTACTCTGGGGGAGTATGGTAAAAGTGCATGTCGGTTAAAGAAATCTTTGTATGGTTTAAAGCAGTCACCGAGGACATGATTTGGTAAGTTTTCAGATGCAGTTTTAGAGTTTGGTCTTCTTTGATGTCAGACAGACCATTCTGTACAGACGAATGCTGGATATGTTCTATTGGTAGTTTATGTAGAGGATATTGTGATTATTGGAAATGATTCTGATGGGATTGTCAAGTTAAAAATTTTCTTGCAAGATCGATTTAATACTAAGGATTTGGAAAAATTCAAGTATTTCTTGGGTATTGAGGTGACTTGATCTAAATAGGATATTTGTTTATTCCAGAGAAAATATGTACTTGACATGCTAGAGGAAGCAGGTTTGTTGGGTGGCAGACCGATTGATGTTCCTATGGATCTGAATCAGAAACTATTAATAGATGATGGTGCATTGTTTGAGAATCCGGGTCAGTATCTCAGATTGGTTGGGAAGCTCAATTATCTAACTATTATTCGACTGGATATTTCATATGTAGTCAGTATAGTAAGTCAGTTTATGGGGTGTCCTAGAGTATCACATTGGGAGGCAGTTACTCGTATTCTGCGATATTTCAAACGTGCTCTTTGACATTGGGAGGCAGTTACTCGTGCTCTTTGACTTGGATTGTTATATCGAGTTAATGGATATCTTAGAGTAGAAGATTTCTTAGATGTTGATTGGGCTAGCTCTCCTTCTGATTGGAGATCAACCACTGATTATTGTACTTTTTTAGGAGATAACGTTGTCTCATAGAAAAGTAAGAAACAATCCATAGTAGCAAGATTCAGTATTGAGGTTGAGTATAGGGCAATGACGCATAAGACAAGTGAGTTAACTTGATTACTACACTTTCTCCAGGAATTGGATTTTCAATTCAACCTCCTTTACAGTTGTTCTATGACAACCAGACAGCTATCCATATCGCTGCCAATCCAGTGTTTTACGAGAGAACTAAATATATTGAGGGTAATTGTCACTTTATTCGGGATAAAATAGTAGCTAGAGAGATTACGATTCCATTTGTGAAATCTGAAGATCAGTTTGCAGATATGTTTACCAAAGTATTGAGTCGTACACGTCTTACAGTGATTTGTTCAAAGTTTGGATTATATGATATATATAGTCCAGCTTGAGAGGGAGTGTGAAGAGTATTATGGTAGTAAGTTTAGTTTGTTAATAGTGTTAGGATATTATGTGTAAATACAAGAGGGTGTATGTGTAATTCTTATTATTGTAAGTTAGCTATAAATACAAGGGATGAATGAGAGGTATGTTAAGTTTTTTGACCCCTCTCTGTTTCTCTCTAATATTATGTTAATCCTCTACACTTAACAAAGGGAAGTTAAATAAGAAATGAATGAGTAGCTAGATGTGGCATTGGTTAAGGATGAAAGAAACCGATTCCAAGTGATTTAATCATGTACAACAGAAACTTTTTTTCCTTCTTGTTCTCGTTTCCCTTTTCTTTTAAAGTATCCTACAAGGTCTGATCAGTTAATGGACCCAAAAACTTGTGGAGAGTAAAACTGTAGGTTGTTTCCACAAAGCTTTCTGCCACTCACGAGAAATATACTTTGCACCAAGCAATTACTCCAAATTTTGATTTCTGACTCAGCAAACTTGCGCAAAGATGGGAGAATACCAATAACCAAATACTTGCCAACCAGTAAACCTATATTAAGATGAAATTTTATAATAACCTTATAAGTTACAACTTTCCCAAGGAAAATGTGATTGTTTCATACCAAAAAGTCTGAGCCATTTCTTTCAGCCTAATAAGGAACTATTGGAACTTGATGTCTCCGGTAGCTAGGTGTGGGAGAAGTTTTGGTGTGCACTATATTTCCCTCCTCTTACCATCGGCCACCACATGTGATACTTTCAGACAATCCTTGCGCCAGTTGGCAGTACAATGGGAACTTTTGAAAATAAAACTGCAAAGAGAAGTAAGCGAAAATATAGATTGAGTTAATGAGTACGCAACATTGTGCGTGCATACCCTCCAGCATGGGTCAAAGCAAACCTGACCTGCCAGACTGACATTTTGGGACCCATATGGACACGTTTGTCCTAATTCATTCTTTCTTGGGATTCAGCCATACACTTCAAAATGGAGCTCCATGAAAATCCTTGGTTAAAAGAACTTGAATTCTGAGTTGGAAGCTTGTTCCAAGTTTTAAAGGTTTGGTATCACATTGATTGCTTGAGGGAGATATAGGGGCTGACTGCATGCAGGCCTTTTTGTTTACATTGCATTCTTGTGCTATGCTACACTTAGTAGTCTCTTCTTTTCCACTGCATATCATGTACGAGGATCCATTACTTCGTGCTTTTATTGCTGAAATAATGACAAATTGTAAAAGTCTCGGTGAATGTTTGAGATTAATTGGTGTGGCCTATGATCCTTTGGAGATGTTGGCTCAGGGTCTGTTGGGTAGTTTTTAAGATATCAATCTTTAAGTCTGGCCAAATACAGAATTTTTCTACATCCTTGCTATAGTTTATCCACTTTGATTGTGTAGAGGCATTGTTTAAGACTTGAAAAGATGAGATTCAATTGGCTTCTATTTTGCTCCCACACCCCACCCCTTCCCTCCTCTTGTGCGGGGAGATTTGTGGATTTTTAGGAGCTTGCAGGGTAAGTTGCATGTAGATTATGCAGTTACTTTGTGTTTGGCACAGACAATTTTGTTTTGTTTGCTTATCTTTCATTTTGGCTTTTACCTTGTATACCCTGTGTAAGTGGGCTTTGCCTGTTGGTGCCTGTAGTGTTTCTTTTTTTTTCATTCTGTCAGCAATAAAAAATGAAAGAAATGTTTTCTCACAGCTATGATGTCAATTAAACCTCTGTCGTGCAGCTCCCGTCCCATGACCATTTATGGAAGAGCTGTTGAAGGTCACCAAATAAAAGATTGTAAACTATTTAGCCTTTTCCTTTGTTGGTAGTGAAATCTGTCTAGTCTCATCATTTTCAGTTGGACTGTTTTGATGTGCCTCTTTGTACATATAATACTTCTAATCTCAATTTGTTCCTCTTACTTTTGCACAGTTGCTTACTTTTGACCATTTTGCATCACAGACCTTTGTACACACTGTGTAGGATAGTTCATCTTTTACAATCAACATTGTTCTGGACACAACTTTGTCATTTTCCTTTAGACAGTGCAAAAAAATTGCATTGGGATTCCTGTTTCATCTTGTAGCTTTTTTTTTTTTTTTGCATGTGTAGGACTAGGTCTTCAATGGTCTATGAACTTGTTCTTTCTGCCTCAATACCTTTATCTTCATTACCATTGCAAAATCTAATTATCCTGGATTGCAGGCCGGTAGGATGAAAGCGGTTGATATGAGGAACAGATGCTCTGTGGCTCTTGACAGCGTTAATTATTGCAAAAATCGTTATACAGATGTCATACCATGTATGCCAATCCAGTTCTTTTCCTTTTCTGGAATGTTTAATTTCTGATGCTCTTTTGATGGTAAATACTTATATTGAACTACATCAATCTCAGTTGACAAAAACAGGGTGGTTCTGAACCCATGTAAGGATTATCGATCATCAGCGAGGGGATATATCAATGCAAGCTTTATCACGGTAAAAGACTATATCCTTCACCAAGCATCATTTTACAGAGCCAACCTAACTCATACTTATGCTTGAAAATCTTGTGGTATATGGATCCATTTTCCTGTTTGACCCCAGTTAGGAATCCCTATTTTGATTGTAGACTTCTGAAAGCGTTTCTCAGTTTATAGCCACACAAGGTCCATTGCCACACACATTTGAAGACTTCTGGGAAATGATAATTCAGAATCGCTGCCCGGTTATCGTAATGCTTACTCGGTTGATCGACAATTACAAGGTACTCAACTGCATAGAATTCAAGGTAATTTTTGTAGTTTTCTCTGATGTGCATAATTTTTGTGGTTTCCATCATAAGAACCAGCAGTATTTGTACTTTATTACCTCATCTTTTCTACGGTTTGACAAGAAGACTTATTTTACCAAGTGTTATCACAAAACACAATGGCAATTCTCATAAAATTGATTCTATTAAATTAATGGGATTCCAAATATATTTAAAGGTGAAAAGACTATTACTTCTGTAAGAATTGGGATTCAAAACTCAAAAACTAGAAACTTTGGCAACAAAAAAATATTCTAGACCATCTGTGGCTCAACATAAATTAGGGTGAATTTCGTGTGGACCTCCTGTAATTAGGTCAAATGACACGAGCACTCCTGTCATTCCAAAAATGACATAACAACGCGGACTAGTGTTAAAATTGGGTTAACATTAATGGAGTTGGTAAAATGCCAATTTTGACATTACTTCATTTGGAGAAAAAATAAAATAAAATACTAGATCCAGAACTGGACACAAACTCGGACAGAAATTGAGTCGACAATTCTCCTTTACCTCTTTTCCCCACCCCACCTGCAGAAGCGTCCACCTCCCACTCCTGCATCAATAGCCCTCCTGACCCCACCCCTACCCGTTGCCTCCCTCCAGTGCAGAACAACCACCATCGGCCACCACCCGAACAAGTCTTCCGCCCTTTCCCTGAAGAACACTGAATACTGATGGATACAGAATGAGGTTGAACTTCTTTCGCTATTGGCAATTACAAAGAAATAGGTATGTGAAGTGAATTTTGAACCCATCACTTTCTCTCTATATTCATGTTGCCGCAAGAGCTGACATAAAGTGAGTTTTAAATTCAATTTTTGGTTCTTGTCGCAGTGGGAGTTTCAATGGTGGGGTTTTGTGGAGGTGGAGGTGGTTTGGGACAGCCTGTGCTGTTGTGTTGAGTTGCGATGGATTAGTAGAGAAATGGATGATGAAAATCTCTCTTTAGGCTGATCTCTGCTTTGAAGTTTCTGTGCGTGTTTGGATGGTGAGATTGTCGTACATCAGCAGGAGAAGGGGCTATGGGTCTGCTGGGGATAGGACACCAGTAGGAAAGTGGTGGCGGTCTTTGTGTGGCAGTAGTGGTCTTCATGTGACAACTGAAAGTGTGCCAAGGCGGTGGCTGTGGCTGTGGCCAGTGGTTGATGAGTTGTGATGGTGGCTGTGGGTGGTTACCTAAATTTGATAATGAAATTTGTCGTCCAAATCTCAGGTGTATGCAATTAATTTTATAACTGGTATGATATTGGATAATTATTTACCAAAAATTAAAATCAATATGATGTGTAATTGAATAGTTAATTAAAAAAAATGGAATTAATATGATGTAACTGAATATTAAAACTATGATTTAGGTTGTGTGATTGAATAATTACTTTTCAAATTATAGTTGGGAGAGAAGAGAAGTGGGATTAATTACTCAACTTTTAATTAATACAATTTAGTTAAATTGTTATTCAAAATTGTAATTTAGTTTGAAGGAGTGAAAGGTGATTCCAGAAATACAATATTTTTAGGACTGTGGGTAGCATTTTTTTGTTAGGGTTACCAATGTCTATGGGACGGAGGGGGCCTTTATATAACGTGCAACAAATGTCGAAAGGTTTTCGTGCCAATTTTGGGAATGCCAGGGGATTGCCATGCAACTTGACTTAAGGTCAGGGGATCCATGTGAAATGTACCAATAAAATTATGATATACATGACTAGATCCACTTAATGACCAGTTGACTATTACCACGCCTTATGTCAATATTAAAACATCCCAAATATCCTTGATGCTAAAAACTGTTACATATATCTTTATAAAGACTCTATAGCCAGGCAGCCAATTGTGCATCAATTATTTTCTATTGAAAAGACCTCCAACTCTTGCAAGTTACGAGCAGCTCCAAGGATATCTTAAGAAGCACATATATGGATGCAGGACACTATACAACTTGACATAGACATGCCGGGAAAATGCTACAAATAAATTTTTTATAGAATCTATGACTATGTATCGACATAGCTATAATTTTATATAATATATTAAAATAAGTACTTTTACTTCGCAAAAAAGTAATAATTTATCATAAGTAAATCTTATTTCTAATCCTCTAGTCCGAATTTTTAGTCTAATGGATCATATTGATCAATAATTAATGATTTTTATGGAGAAAGCTAAGCAATCACGTATAGTTATGATGATTGATCTCATCTTCTCACCTCCTCTTTTTTAGCGAAAATTTGATGTATATTTTGTTTTTAGTAGAAAATTTCAAATAAAATTTTGAAATATGATTATTCTTTCCTAGAATAAGGAAGTTATGTTTCAAAATCTTCAAGTTTTCCCAATTAAATATCGATACATCTGTATATTGTAGTTGTTGACATTGCCAGAAAGAAGTGTCATCACCATAGGAGTGTCGGACATGTGTCTCATGAAATCGAGATATTTTTCTTTAAATAATAGTCACTTCTGATAGAGTATTGGTCATGTGTCTAAGAGTTTTCGAAAAGCATAGGTATCCAGCATGGATACATCGCCTTCTTATGAGTGTCCGTGCTTCTTGGGGTGGAAAAGTTTTTCAGATCATAATGAACTTTTTTTCAACTTCAGTGCTTGCATGTCTGTGGCCAAAGTAAGAGTCCACTTGTTATTGCGATCAAAGAATGGATAGACTGTGGCACACCTAGTATGATGTGCACCTCGATCTCATGTCCATGTTCTGCCTAAGTGCATATAACAAAACTTTAGTGGTAAAATATCAAAATAACTGCCTCCTAAAGCTTTCTAGTGTTGAATGTCACCCTCTTATCAAAAAAGTGTTGAATGTCACCCGACATTAATTATCAATCTTCAACTTCTTATTTCTGGTCCATTCCACATGATATGGCCTGGGATGTGGCTCAACCTTTAGTTCTTGTTCCTTATCTGCTTCCTTTGACGCAACATTAAGTATGATTGCAGTGTCAATTAATAAGAAATATCCTTGTCCTCCAAAATTCCCTCTTGTTTGAAAGATTTTCACTTTATGATATAGTTCATCACTTTCTTGATTACTTGCTTGATAGAGAAAAGAAAAGGACGAATAACACATGTACAATGATCATCTAAATAGTCAAAATCCGCTTCAAATTATCACGAAGAGGACACAAATCTCATTTTCAACTTGTGACTCTTTAGATCTTTGAAATTGTCTAGAGTTGTTTCTTTTCCACCGTCACAACTGTTTTAGGACCTAGGCATTGGAAATGGAAAGAATGATGACTAATACCTTGACACTTAAAAGCATCTTGACTTAGCATAATGATTTGAATTGTGACTCCCTCTAGATGAAAAATAAATGCTAGGACTAGATAGCTGAGTGGGAACATGAAAACTTTCTCTGCATTTGTCATTGGAATTCGACTTCGATCCACAAAAACTCTTTTCACTCTGATTTGAGTTGTCTGATGAACAGGGACAGACCAGCAGAGCCACACGTTGTGCTGTTGAATTTTTTTGTGCAAAGATGGTTTTATATGTGTTCAAACACATTTCTAAATTTGACCCCTCAAAATAGTTATCATGTACCTAGTCTTTTTAGTCATCCCTCACAATTAGATTTAGTTCCTAAGCTTGCAATAAGTAAACTGAATTAATATTTATTTAGTTGAATCCCATAACTTGTTTTTCAAGTATATTCTTCATGTCTCCCTACATTTCACTCCCTCTTTCTTGTCATTGTTAATTTCAATATATCTATACTACTAATAAAAGGAAGCTAATGAGAAAAACTTTTGATTTCCTATTTTACCCCTTCTTAATCATACAAAGGCAACTATATCCTACGTACCACTTTAACTCTTATGGCCTTCCCTTTCTAAGAATAATTATTTGTAATTATAAGTGCAATGAATACATAAACATTATATATACGAAGACCTTTCATATTCGTAACACTAGAGAAAATTAAAAAACAATATAAGAATAACATGCTCTCCCTCCAAATTCTCACTTACCACAAGTAGAGAAATCTTATCTCTTTAAATAATAGAAGCTATTGGTATTTTTATTTTTCTCTATCACGTTCATAGCTCCTTTCATTTCTGTGTTTTGTTTTTATTTTTTTTTTCTTTGTAAGTTGTCATCAATCTTATGAAAGTAAGACTATAAACGATATTGAAGATGATGAACTCAAAGATGATGAACTCAAAGTGCAATAATTCTTGATTGTTTATATGATCCTTTTTTTTTTATCAGTACTATCAACTACTACTTTGATGATTTAATATGAGTGTAATCTAGGACTTTAAGAGAATGTGATCTGTTTTATTCACTATTTAGATTCAATTTTTTTTATTTATTTACTTCTCAATTTTAATTTAGAAATTTGATTTGCCATGGTCTTGGTGCATGAGATTAATTTTTTCAACTATACACAAATTCTACTTATTAATTAGATTTTTATTCACTTCCATCGAGTTTTAATTCATTTTTTGGTCTTCAATTGTCAAATATTTATTGTAAGATTGTAATTTTTTCCAATCCAAAGTCAATATTCTTGATGAGAATTCTTCTAAGTGTTGCTCACACCATGGTAGAAGTAAAATATTTGAAATATAAATTTTATAAACAACTAATAAGTAATCAAATCAATGACCTGATGCCTTTCTTTTACATTTTGTCTGTTTTACTTTCTAACCTCACACTTATTTTATGTATACATAAAACTACAAGTATAGAGATAATGCGAGTAAAAATTAAAAAATAAAAACTAAAATTATAATTCAAAATAGTTCACGTACAACGTATGTGGGCACCAACTAGTTGAAAAAAATATTTTTAATGGAATTGAAATAATATTCTCAAGTAATATTTTCAAAATATAAAAACTAGTTGGAAAAAATTTTAATTTACCAATTATTATTTGGGCTACCGTTTCATAAGTAAAAAAATTAATTTCATCATTAAATTAAAAACACATTTGATCATTCTATAATAAAATTATTTATATGGTTTGTCTTATGAAATACATGCATATAAACATATAATTAAGCTTGAAAGAATATAACAAGTTCATCAAATAAAAAATAAAAAAAGTACAAAAAAATAAATAGTACTTCAATTTTTTTTAAAAAGTACTAAAAATATGTTCTCAAATTGTACCTATTTTATTTATTATTAGTTTGGTTTTTTATATTATTATTGTTTAAATTTGCCCCCACTATCGTAATTTCTGGCTCCGCCCCTCCTGATGAAGGTCTTATTAGTCTTTTTCCGTAACTTCCTCAATATATGTGATAGGCTTCCCGCACTACATCCATCATGGTGCGCGTTGACTTGTTACTAAGCCACTCCAGAAATGTGGATATAGTCCTTGCAGATTGTTAAGAGTATTAGGGTAGTATGTATAAATTGTTAAGAGTGTTAGGGTATATGTGTAAATATAAGAGGGTGTATTCTCTCTTTCTTATTATTGTAAGGTAACTATAAATACAAATGATGACTGAGAGGTAGATTAAGGTTTTTGACCTCTCTCTGTTCCTCTCTAATATGTTGTGTTAATTCTCTACACTAAATATGGTATCAGAGCACAAACAATCCTAAATATATTTTTTGTTTGAATAAATTAACTTTAGTTGCTGTGGTTTGGTGTGTTCGTCGTGGTGGTGTAGCTGTGTCGAAGCTACAGTGGTGGTGGTGATACAGTTGTTGTGGTTGATCTATGGTGTTGTCGTGAGTGGTGGTGGCGTGGTATTGTTGATTCCTTCATCATGGTGTAGCACTGTTGTGGTGTGGCCATCGTGGTGGCCTGTCGTTTGTTGTGGTGGTCGAGGCGTAGTCGAAGACGGTCGAAAACTAGGGTTTCCTGAAACCCTAATCGCGAAGAAGAAGAAGCCTAGACCCGAGGAAAGGTCCATACCTGACTTCACGGGTTTGGATAAAAGA